AAAATTACAGGTTTTGTAGAGAATTCAATTCTCTATCGATTGACTGTAAAATGAGAACTTGAAACTTCATAGAAGGGGATTAATAAACAAGAACAAAAGTGGCCGGTTTTATCTGGCCCACCCGTTAATATTGACGTATTGACATTCAGCATTTTCGATATATCTTGGGCAATTTTTGAGGACAGTCACAGCTCTCAAGAATAGCTGAAATGGGTTTTATTTCTTTTATTACTTATCTTGATTATTGGTACGATCGGTCGAAGCTTTACTTATTCTCTACAGTATTCGTAACATAGCAGATATTTTAACTTAAAAAAAACTGCATAAATAATCAACTGGATGTTTATGATATCCAAGAATTATTTTTTGGTTCTGGTTAATGTGTTAAACAGCGTCTTTGCTTTTGCAAATGTTCTTATAATTAAAATGTTGCGTAAAACAAATTGTTGTTGTGAATCAATTCGCTCTCAAAGTTAAAACAGAACTGACCTTGCTTAGGCAAGGCTTAGCGTACCTTCTTAGTCGGAAAGTCTTTCCGCAAGATATATTGACATTTCTTAATTAGGGATATTTAGATACTAATATAAATGTTCTAATGTATATTATAACGTTACTCATCACGAATTGTAAGAAAATTTAATAAATTTTAAATAAAATTAAAGATATGTTGAATAATCCTAAATGTCGATACGTCAATATTAAATTCGTAATCAGTATAAAAACTTAGCCCTTTTTCTTTTCATATAATTTGTACATTTTGAGTAGCTCTTTCAAATCAGCCAAGAAACAGGGCAGATGTTACAAGTTAGGTAAAAATGGCTGGAAAATAATCATTTTTACAGTTTTGAACTGAGAAAGTATCTCAGTTCGCGTAATAGTTATAGAGGCGCAATTTGCGTCAAACCTCGGCATTCTTAATGCCCTACAAGATAGGATAGGCGAGCCCAGCACTGCCAGAGGCCGTACTGCCAGATCGTGTAATAATGGGATGTTTCATCTGAACACTTCCGCTTGTTTTTCGCCTGAGAAAACACTCGGTGCGTAGAAAAGAATCATATAGCAAAGAAAGGTGAAAAAACACTAACTCTAATTAAAGTGACAATGAGCCACTGTGACTCAAACTTCAATACAGAACCGTCTCAGTGTGATAGTACGTAAAGATATAGAGCTTAGTGTATATGACTGCATACCGTAGTTTTCATCCAGAAATTGTTCAATATGTTTTGGTGGATCAAGACCCCAACCGGAGCACGTACAAATGGTGCCATTTTCATCTCGATATTCAATTTGCCGTCCGTAATCCTTTATGTCAATTTTTTCATCTGGGTTTCCTTGATTTAACGTAGGAATTTTGTTGTGCGGAACTAGAATGTAGTACCATGCCGGTCGACCATTCGCATTTCCTCTGACTTTGAATTTTCCTTCAGTGCTTGTTTGTTTTGTTACGACTTGTAAACGTTTTGCAAGAGAATCATCTGCTAGGATAATATCGCGATTTCTACGAAATGTAAATGGGAATTTATAAGCAACTCAAGACGTGACGTATGATATAGATGACCTTGTAATAGAACTAATCTGCAGGATACAATCTCACTCAGTATCGCTGGAGTAAATATGATTTTACCTTTGAATACGTGCGAGTTCGAATGTGTCCTTTATAAACATGTTTTATTTTATGTTAATGGAACTGATTTTTTCAAATTAAAGCATGTGTCTGTTCGACAGTACATAAGAAAATTGTGGGAATATGAATCATGTTCTGTTACTCCCATCGCATGTTGGAGAGATTTTTTTTCACCTTTTACTTCTTTTGTCAAGAAATATTTCATCACGATTTCAAAAAAAGCGATATATGAATTCCTTTTCTGAAAGTTTCAATAAAACAACGTTGCGTATAAGCTTATTCGTTATACCGTATACTACTATCAGCATTTCACTTCAGCAAATAGCATTGAGAGCCGTTGTCTATACGCATCAACGAGGATAGGAAGTTGGACAATGGAATCAGTAAGCTCATATAAGAATAAGCTTAGTATTTCAGCATATAATAGAAAACAACAAAAAGATCGCATAAAAAATCTGCAATTGTATGGTTCTCAGAAGACGATATTCATATCCAGACGATATTCGTGCTCTGAAATTAATTTATGGGGATCAATTTTTTTGATCACCAATAAAAGATACTTTTGATCATCAAATTTTTTAGCATGAATCTCACAATCTTATTTTTCAACAAAGTATAATGTACAACACAAACATATTCATTGAAATTTTAACCAAATGAACAACATTTTTACAGTTTTATTTATATTTATTTAAAAAATTTAAAGCTGTGGTAACCACCTTGGAACACACTTTTGCTTTTCATTTGCCTAATGGTTGAATACGTGTTTTATCGAAAACTTGATACAAGTTAAATAAAATTGCTAATCCAACAGAATGTTTACACGAATATACTAATAATGGTTCAACAAACCAACAGAATTGTTGCCACACTAGAAAACTATTGAATGTATCATTGATTAGATAATTATCGGCCTTGTCGGTGGGTTGTATTCACTAGTTTTCTGATGTGACAACAATCCTGTTGGTTTGTTGAACCATTATTAGTATATTCGTGTAAACATTCTGTTGGATTAGCAATTTTATTTAACTTGTATCAAGTTTTAGATAAAATACGTATTCAACCATTAGGCAAATGAAAAGCAAAAGTGTGTTCCAAGGTGGTTAGCACAACTTTAAATTTTTTAAATAAATATAAATAAAACTGTACAAATGTTGTTCATTTGGTTAAAATTTCAATGAATATGTTTGTGTTGTACATTATACTTTGTTGAAAAATAAGATTGTGAGATTCATGCTAAAAAATTTGGCGATCAAAAGTACATTTACTCTTAATTTATATTCTAAAAAAATACAAGTGACCTCGGTTAATTTTTTATTGTCGGTAAAAAGAAGGGAAATGACCTCGATAATTACTTTGCGAAATTTAAGTAATGAATTTTGTCAGTAGTAAAGTATATTTAAAAAGAGAAAACTAGTTCAAAAACAAAAAATGTGCTCAGTAGTTTTTCACTAATGTTCCGTCTTTTGTAAAAGTTAATTTAATTTTCTTTGGACAACCTTTTCCTCTTCTCATCCCAACTGACTGTGAAACTTTCCGATGATCCCACGTCATTCTTAAGTTCAATGAATGAACGCAAGAATATTCTTTAATGCCGTGTTTCCATGAACAAAATAATGGTGGAGTTAAACGAGAAAAATCAACTAAACGTGCAGAATTTATCCAGTCGATAGATTCATCGTACGAATTTCAAAATATTTTATGATAATGTTGTACCCATAATAATGTATCCATTTATGGTCCAGAAGAAGGTACAACATAACTAGCTGCACGTAAATGTAACATTTTTATTTGATCAAGTTTTTGTTACCATTCACATGCTCTAGCTGTTAAATCATCATTAAATTAAATTTGTATAACAAATGGTGTATTGATACTAACTAATGACTAATCATACAACATACGTTCCGCTGTTTGTAAGAATGATGACGATGATAGTTGCTACGTAATGTGTGCATTTGTTTGATTTTACCATCCAACGATTCAAGACCGTTATTGGTAGATGAAGTAAGATTTGCCCCGCCTCCACACGAAAATGGTAATGATAATAACCATTGGTCATCAAAATATTTTCTAAATGCAACAAGATCTTTGTCAGCAGTCCAAAAAATTTTGAATGAATGTCACCGAACCCAAGTTGTACAGATGATTCTAATACACGAAATAACGTTTTAAATATATCTACTGAATCATCTGTTCATATTAAACATAATCGTAATGGATGAAAACGACAATTCAAATCTGATATTCCAAAACGATTAGAGGCAATTCATTCAATGTTACTTTATATGTACAATCAATAGCTAACATAGTTGAATATTTCCATTAGATAATAAGTAATGTGTAATAATACAAATAAATATGTGATTAATATCAATAGCTTTATAATATGGTAGAAATACATCATATAAGTTATCTGGAGATCGACAACTAAGACATTGAGTATACCATATGTGCAAATCATCAATTGATATAATATTTTTCCGAGTTTTTAAATGAGTATACGGCTTGTCCAAGCGTGACGCTCATAATAAAACGTTCGATTTTCCAGCGGGGTGAAAATAAGAGAAACAGTATACATATTCTGATTCGCAATTTCACGAGGATTCCAAATATGCTACCCGTTTTCTCGGACAACTCTTACGGACAACGATCAATTATGGAAAAAAACGTATTCGTGCAAGATTGTTAGATATAGCATTAAAACCATCAGGATTAACATTGTAAAGAAATTGTTTTTTAATTGGAAAATAAACGATACTATATCAGCACAAGAATCATCTCAGAACAGTTTTTTTTTTCTTAATAAAGATCCTCATCGTATCTACATTCGTTGTTAATATTACTTTTATTTTACGTGTTAAATGTGTTCTTGTATTTTGTTAGTAATACTATAGCTTTTTCTTTTCACTTCTTCTATTGCTTCTGATGCGCACCCCTGTATGTCCTTGAATAAACACTATTTTTCATAGTTTTCTTAATTGTTAATCTGTAGCATGTATTATTTCTTTTACATTTAACAAACTCGATAATGTATTATGTTTTGTGTTGATTTTTGACAATATAGAGTGCCTTGGGATAATTATAGTCAGCTCCTCAAAATTTCGTCGTATTTCTCCTGTAGTTCGCTCAATTTTTATCCGAGAAAAGCGATATTTTACAGGTAAATAGAGGTGACTCCTGGCTATCAATTGATGTAAAAATTTTCTTAAAA